GTGTGTGTGTGCGCGCGTGCGTGTTGGGGGGGAAATCTGTATGTATGTGCTGCACCGGCTGTCACAAACAGACTCTGTTGTCCTGGATCCATTATAGCAAAAATTCTTCATAGACAAATGTTTTAATCTTGCAATTAAAACTATAGTGGATTAGAAGATAGAGACACAGCAGTAGTTTGTGTGTGCATCCGTTAATACAGTGGCATGACAAATAGACTTTGTTCTGTGTTGAAAGTGACACTTCAGTGTTTCCGGCTCCATTCTAGTGTGACAGGCTGCTTCATGCATTCAGACATGAAGCAGTGTGATTAAAGGAAAGAAATGCATGTCGGAAAGGGCTTTGCTCAATGGATCTGAAATGATGTCACAGAATCACCATGTCTTTACCGCTGTAAGTCACCCCCACCCTGCCTTTACCACTATTTGAAACACATCATGTCTTATTGTATGAATCGATGATTATATTTCCTGGATGGGAACAAATTAAGGCTTAACATGTAATTTAATGTTCTTGTATTTGGGAAATCATAAGTGACCATGATGGGTAAAAACAAACAAACAAAACAAAACTTCTCCTGATTATACTCACTAAATAAATTAAATTTTTTTTGCTATATACTTTCTTTACCTTGTATTTCTGAAATTGGACACTGGCTCAAACTTTAGCTTTGAAATGAAACATGTGATGTCACTTTTTAAAGAAAAGATTAAATCGTAATTTTTCACCGTCGTCTTAAGGACGAGGGTAGAGAAGGTGCAGTTGCGCTTCAGCTTCAGGAAGGAGTCGGTTAGCTTCAGCTCATTAATTTCACGACCTTGTGCTTAGCTTGTTCTTAAATCTGTTTCTGTTTGTATAAATGTACATATGTTCTTTTTTTCTTACCAGATTTGCTTTAGAAACAAACTTTTTGTACGTCTTTTACATGAAGCAGAAACGTCTAATCGGTAGAAATACTAAGTGATCTTAATGCTAGTGGGTCTAAAATGATTGAAATGTCTAGACAATAAATGTTTCTTTTTTAAAACGTGTGTCTTTTAACTTTGCACTTTGATACAACAACACTCAAGTTTTTAAAGGAGGAAGATGTAGGGAATTATTGGCTTTTGTGGATGAATCATGAAAATAAAATACACTGTAGTTGAGTGTCATTATGTAACTCTCATACAACACATTGCTTTTCTTAGCTAAAAGCTGCATCCTGTTTGCTCCTACTGGCCATCTTACCACTATAAACTTGCATGAAATGAATAGCTGTGACTTGGCCTACTGTATCTGATCAAGGATAATTATTTTGGGAGTCACATGAAAAACATCCAGTGAAGATTCAGAGAGCGCCGCTTCCCACATAACTGCTGACACGAGATAAAATCTTATGATTTCGTCACCTCTGTTACTTTATAAGCTGAAAGGTCCAACCTGTACAGTCCTAAGTGAAGCTAGCATTCCAGTGCATCTAACAACAACAACAAAAAAAAGATTGTGAGAACATAGTTTTTTCATCATTTAGAAACTCTTTACTGAACATGGCATATTGCAAGCCTTTTTTTTGTTTTAACTTTGAAGGCTTTTTACAGATCATAAAAATTATAAAACCAGCACCTCAGATGATCAGAATAGATCATTTCAAGTTTGAGTACATCCAGAACACCAAGTTCAATAAATGCAACCACAATCATGGGGAACACTGCTGATTTGACGGTTGCTTAGATGATGATTATCGATACTCTTCACAAGGAGGGTACACCACAAAAAGCTGGCTGTTCACAGATTAACTTTATCAAAGCATTTAAATTGAACGTTAACTGGAAAAGTGTGGCAGGAAAAGTTTCACAAGCAACTGGGATGACTGTTGCTTTGAGAGGGTCGCCAAGAAAAGTCAGCTGAATAACTTGGAAGATGTACTGGTGCTTGCTTTGTCCAAAATACTTCCTCAGGGCCTTACTTTTGCCAAGATTGCAACACTAGTACAACATCTGAATGGTGAGACCTGCCGTTAAGGCAACGCAGTTGTGTAACTGTTTCACTCACTAATGAAAGCACTCTGGTATATTACAGTTGGTTATTGCTAAAGGGAGGCATGACACAGTCTGTCCCGGTTGGGGTTGAACGTTGTTTGAGCAGGAAGACACTTAATGAGTATGTTTTGACCATAATTACTGACTGGATTGGGTTTGGGTCTGCTGGTGTTGAGAGTTGGAGGATAACCTCATGGGATGTCTTAAATGTAAACATAGGTGCTAAATGGAAAACGCACAACATCAGCAAATAAACAGAAGAAGAGCAGTGAGCGAAATGTTTTGGTATTAGACTGCACTGAATGATTAAAAGCAAAAGGGCATAGAAAGTTTTCAGAGTTTTAAATCACCATGAACTGAGAGGGTGCAGACTTAAAAAAAAAAAGGCCCTGCTTCAAAATTGACACCTTCAGGCTCCACCGAAATTTGTAGCTGCCTGTAGGAAAGTCAGGTGCCTTCTGGGGAAAGTTTTTTTTATTTTTTTATCTTCAGATCAGTAAAAGACGGAGTTATCTGACCACAATGACAGTAAAGGGGAGGCTTTCAAACCTAAGAACCCTGTATCAAATGTCAAGCATGGTGGTGGTAGCATCATGCTTTGGTCCCAGGGGCACTGGTACATTGCATGTAGATGGAATAATGAAAAACTACCTCCAAATTCTTCAAGTAAACAGCTAAGGTAAATCGATAAAATCAATAGTTTCAATAGCTGAAACTGAAACACAACTGGGTGTTCCAACAGGATGATGGTCTCAACAAACACACATCAAAACTGGTTTTAGAATCAACCCAACCAAACCTTAGCCCTACTGAAAATCTGTGGACTATTCTTAGAAGCTGGGTCTGTGCCAGGAAACCAACCAATTTTGTTGATGGCTACCAAAAACATCTGGTGGACGTCCAACTGAATACTGGGATGTTTGACAAAATATAACCACCTACTTTTGCATCCAGCTCTCTTTGAATTTTTTTTTTTTAAATTCTGATGCACGTTGTACAATTAAGAACAGTTCAAAGAAATCATTAAAATCCACAAATCACCATGACATTAACAACCCATGATGAGTGTATGTAAACTTCTGACCACATCTGTACGTAACAGCGTCCTTCTCTCCTGTTGCTTTAGTTGACTGCCTTCGTCTTGCTAACAAGTTGCTGAATTTCACTAAAGTCTAACCTGTTCCTGTGTTACCACTCATTTTGACTTGAAGAAACAACTGACCTCCATCTATGAAGTCTTTTCCTGCTTTCTGTGCGTTGCTTTGAGGGTAAATCTCATGGCTAAGAGTAGCATTAAATGGGTAGATGAAGAATGGAGCTGTTGGGTGGCCCACTTAACAATCTGTCCGCAGGAAAAAAAAAAAAAGTTGGTTTTTTTTAAACATTTTTTGTCTGTATTGTACTGATGTGGACATATAGATAACAGCTGAACAAAGCAGCTGTTCAAATCATCTGTGTGTTAAATAACTAAGTCCAATCCCCTGCTTAATACTAACACCAACAACAAACAGACTAGCTCGCTGTTTCCCCCGATGTAAACTGTAAATCTGATTAATTACTTTGAATATATAATTCTCCATCCGTTCCTGGCACTTGCATAAACACAAGCACTCTGTCGTACAGTACGAGGTGATTATGTGGCAATTACAGCACTCACAGCGACAAAATGAGAGCTGATCCTTGGAGGAAAAAAATGGAG